GAGAGTGGGGATGAGGATGGAGAATGGAAATGCCGGTGGGATGGGATGGAGAATGAGAATGGGATGAGGACGAAAGTGGGGATAGATATGGAGACAGAGATGGAGACGGGGAAGATTTTGGGTTTGGGATTGGGATTGGGATGATCTGGACCAGGAATCTGCCCAGAATCCATGACTTCAATGTCCCTGTGTTGGGACAATCCCTGCTGTGACACAGGACAGGCCTCGTGTCGGGCACTTGGGGCYGCTCAGGGCTACAAACTCAGCAGCCCTGGCCAGCCCCGAGCCACAAACTCTCACTGGGATGCACACGAAGCCTCCACGGCATGGAAAATATTAATTTCGGTTTTCCGGTTGGCTTTTTGATTATTTAGAAAGAGCGAAGGGAAAAATTAAAAAGAAGGAAGCCGCGTACAGTCACCGGGTGCTGGTCCCACCCCCTTTATCTCTCCTTCCATTCGCTCACCATCGCTGTGAGGAGAGAGAGAAACGAGAAGCTGAGCCCTCAGCTGCCTAAATGTAGAAAGTTTTGCTTCTAAATCAGTTTGTGATGGAAAGGAAACACGTCACGTCCCTGGGGAAGTGGCTGGTTCTGAGCAGCCACAACCCCAGCTCSGAGCGCTGCAATGGAACAGCCCAGCACTGAAATAGCTCCACGCWCTGTTATTGTCACCCGGAGAAGTTTTTTTTTTTTTTCGCCCGTCTACGGGTGTCATTTTTAGCCTCCAGAGGAAGTTTTATTTGTATTTGTTACCTCGACTTTCCACTGTCGTGGCTTTTTGACTTTTTCGAGTGAAGGGTTGGGAGAAAAGTGAGCGGGGTGAGATCAGGTGTGGGGTCAGTGGGGTGTGAGTGGGGCCTGCAGCACTCAGGGTGTGTTCCAGGTATTCCAGTGTGGGTTCATCACAGAGCCAAATTGAATTCCAAAACCATAAAACCATAAATCCACAGAATTGCAGGAATTTTGGGGGGCTGAGAGCTGAGCTGAGCCTTTGCTCCCCAATAAAGTTTGGGGTTTGGGCGGTTCCAGCCCCTTCCCAAAGCGAACCCACCCACTCCATGGGATGACTGAGGGAGAGGAGGACTCGGAGTTTAAAAAAAAAATAATAAAGAACTCGTGAAAATTGAGTGTTCCTGGTGAGCAACAGCAGYGCCTGGCAGCACAGGGGGGGTGTTCCTTCCCAAAACTGGGCTGAAGGCCAGGAGAAGCTCGTGCTAAACACGATCCCAAAGTCAACGGGGTAACAATTACCTACTTTTCATAATCACTGAAACAATTAATGAGAGAAAGCCTCACCCTCTGGCTCAAGGGAAACAGGAGGCATCTCCCCTGTGGTGGGACCACCCCGAGAAAACGCAGATTTAGGGCCGGGGGGATGTTAAAGAGCAGGGATTGGGATTTGGGTGGCACTCGGGGATGCCACAGGGCCAGCCCGGCTGCCGGGAGCTGGCRATGCCAGGCTGCAGCTCCCCCTCAGCCGGGGACTTGCTCAAGAAGGGATTAGCAGGATCAGCTGATGATGATCTCAGCGCATAGCTATATCAACCTGCGAATTAATTACTGATATCTCACACCTCGGAGCGCCTCTATCTGCCGATCTCTGTGCTTCCCGAGCGTTCCCGGAGCCGAGCCCGGCTGCACACCCCTCCTCCCCGGGAAATAGGTCAAGGAGGGAATAATCCCCAYGTGCTGCCCGGGCACAAACAGCGCTGCCCATTTTTGGGTGCCCACGTGGGAGAATCCCCCGGCCGGCTSAGCATCACCAGCCCCACGGGATGCTGAGGCAGCCGTGGGTGAYGCCGCGATGTTCCAGCGAGGAGCTCCCAGCCCTCATCCTCGTGCTGGGGACACGCAAAWCCCCCCGATTTGGGGGTCCCCACGTGCTTCAGGGAAAGGGTGGGGGTGGAATTGGGAACGGGGAGCTGGTGCTCGGCTCTGCTGCTCCGGGAGCCGGCAGCCGGGCGGGCCCTGGGAGAGGCTGTGGATGGAATTTAGGGCTCCTGAAGTAATTGGGAAGGCAGGCGAGGCGAGGATGGGGACATGTCCCCACCCAGAGGGGACCGGCACGCAGCGAGGGGCACAAGGGCCAGTCCTGGAGCGATGGATTCATTAATTAGCAATAATTAATTACCATTTGGGCCTCCAAAAATACTGAACATAACATCAGAGGAGCTTTGTGGGGCTGCCCAGGGCCCTGTCAGAGCTGGTTCTGTTTGGAGATCCTGAACCCCCATCCCGCTCACTGRGGCTGGACCATCCAGCCAGGCCCTGGCAGCATCCTGGGATGCAAATTCCAGCTGTTCCCGAGGGAAAGCAGCAGCTCAGCTGCGCCCAGAGACGCTGCCAGGCACCCCGGGCTGAGCATTCAAGGGATGCTCCGTGGGGAGAAACTCAGGCCAGGTTTTGTTTCCTCTTTCAGCTGCTCCCCGAGTCGGTTTGGGCTGGGTTTGTCCGCGGCGGTGGGAAGCTCTCAGCCTCTCCCACTCCTCCGGGAGCCGCGAGCACCTTCAGATGTGGTTTGCCCCAAAACGCTCCTCGCTAGAACA